TCTGGTGTGGCTCCCATGAGGGACGAGGCTCTTGGTGGTTTTCGGAGATAGAAGGCCACTGTTTTGTGACCCGGTGGAACTGCCCCATGTTCTGTCTGTCTGTTTTCTCGGCTCTGATCTTTGCGGAAAGGTGCCCTGGCTCACGGCCACAGGGTCAGGAGTTAGAACCCATCGGCCGCTCAATTGGAACCAGATGAGGCTTTCTGTAATGATGGACAGCCATTCCACTCGGCCCTACAGGGCCCCTGTGGGTCGACGGTGGTTCTTGGACACCACTCCTTCTCTGATTGTTGGCTGTAGGTCTGGAACAGTATCAGAGGATGGTCCATTGTCTGCATAAAACTGAGAGCCCTGGTAGTGGTGGGGTTATAAGTTGGGATGCGAACCATGAGGTCAGCGGTTCAAAACTACCAGCTGCTCCTCAGGAGAGAGATGGGGCTTTCTATTCCTGTCCCATAGGGTCGCGATGACTCAGTTGGCACTGACTCAAGGACAGTGAGTTTGGGGTTTGGGGACCCCGAGTATTGTCCTCGCGAGCACAAGACCCACGCGCCTGTGCTGGAGAGGAGGGCCCTCCTCCCTTTGCGTGGAATGGACAGCAGGGAAAGATGCAGCCGGGTGTCCCCTCACACCCGCAGTCTGTCTGCACAGCACGCGGGGACCCCGGGCCCTCTGCCCCCAGTTATCTCTGAGATCCTCGCAAGTCACACAGTCTTCCCAGGAGTCCTGCGGAGCCAGGCCCATCTGTGTGCTGGTCAGTGGTGAACCTCCCTCGGGGAAGGGGCCTGACTGGCACTGTGCCAATACCGCCCTGGGGCCTGAGAGGCGAGGGGAGGAGCCCTCCCACCTTTGCGGTTTCAGGCTGCTTATAGCACTAAGTTTATACAGGAGCCTTGATGCCATAGTGGGTTGTGCACGGGATGGGGTTGCAAGCAGTTTGCAGCCACCGGCCGCTCTTGGGGAGAAAGAGGAGGTCTGGTCCCAGGGACCAGGTCTGTTCTCCTCCAAGGTGGCTGGGCGGGTGTTCCACCCAGTTGTTCACTGGCTCGAGAAAGGGTAGCTTTTGAAAACTCGTGTGCGAAGGACGCAGCACACTGCTGAAAGCCTAGCGCTTTCAGGGCCCAGGGGACACACGTGTCCCACAAACTACCAAAATCTTCGTGACACTACCTTCTGTTACAGAAACAAATGCTCTCAAGGAGTCAGTCTTGAAGAGTCAGAAAGCTCATACGCTTAAGACCTCCAAGGAGAAGTTCTATTCTGACGCATGGGGTGCCACAACTTGGAATGGAGGGTAATTAACACATTTCTCCCCCTCCCCCCGCATCCTCCCTGATCCTCAGACCAAACCCACTGCCATCATTGAGCCGACCTACAACCGCAGGACAGCGCAGAACTGCCCCTGTGGGTTTCCAAGGCTGTAAATCTCTACAGGAGCAGACAGCCTCATCTTTCTCCCACGGAGAGGCTGGTGGGCTTGAACTGCTGTCCTTGTGGTTAGCTCCCCAATGCATAACCCCCCCTCCCCATGCCCATTTAATTCGCCTGGACCCCAGGGATTCTTGGAGGTGGGTCTTTGGCTTTCCTGGGCCTGCAGCACCTGGGAGCTTTGCGGGGACAAAGTCTTTCCCAAAGTGGGTGGCAGGCCAACTATGTTTGGGAACCGCTGTCTGAGAGTCCACCCCTGGGCTGATCTCTTAGGTCCACTTGGGCCATCACTGAGATGCATGGCCATGCTGCATCCCCATGACATCTGGATCTGCGCCCCGACCGTGCGGGAGGCGTAGCCCAGGATCACCAACCTGAGAGGAGCCAGGCAGAGCCCGGGCCCTGGCTGTCCGGGAGTCTTCACAGAGGCACTGGTGAGTCGTGTTGTCTTGGTCACAGGATCTGCTGGCAAAGGCTTCTGAGGAGGCTGCGGCTTCCAGGTTCCCTGCAATTAACCGGAGCCAGACCTGGGCTCTGGAGCCCTGGAGAGTGAACACTTGTTCCTGGCCAAGTAGGGGGGGCTGGTCTGTCGCTCACACTGCTCATCCCCAGCGCCCTCTGCCCACTCCTCAGGTATAGCCTGCCCTCCGTGGTGGTCACGGTTTGTACACCTCCCCGTGGAGTAGATGGAAATGTCACCCCCTCCCAGCTTGGTACAACTGTGGCAAAGCCAGCCCCAACCCAGCCGCCACTCCGCTTCCAGAGGGACACCCAGGGAGATCCAGGGAAATCTGACGTGGACGGTTCTGGAAAACCGCCTGGACTCTGCAGAGCCTGTTCTAGAGGTGGAGACACGTTGCCACGTTCCACTCAACCCCTCTAAGATAGACTCCCCCCAATCCGAGCAAGACGGTGGGTGGGACGGCCCACATCAGACCCTGCCGGGTGAGACTCATGAACGAGGAGAGGCCAGAGTCTCAGACTTGCCGAGTGGGACGAGGGGTGTGCAGCCGCGTGGGCAAGCGCAGCAGGGGCGGGAAGGGGTGGAAGCAAGTTGCCAGGAGAACGCCTAGATTCAGAGGAAGGCCTGTGGGTGGAGGAGACCCTGTACCCCACGCCTCCCTGCACCTGGAAGGAGTGGGGGCAGGAACAGGATAACTGGCTGGGACCCAGGGAAAGGCCTTTTCCGCCTGCCCATCCCCCACCAGCGGGTTGGCTGGGGACAACCCTGCCACCGCCTGCAGTCATTCCCCAGCAGTTCACAGCATGCACTCGGGGAATTCAAGACTGGAGCTTGTCAGAGGCGCGTTCACCGTGTGACAGGCCATGTCAGTGTAACACCTGCCTTTTTTTTTTCTCATTCTACCCCCCACCTCCCCCCACTACTCAGCCAGATCACCACCTTCCCCAAGGATGAGATCTGTCCACACCTGCAGAAAGTCAGGGTGGAACAAGCCAACCCACAGTCAACAGACAGCATCAAACGACCCAAATCAGAAACCAGGAACTCTCTCTCAGGAAGAGCAGGTACAGAGTGTACTGGAGGGATGAGGGAATGTGATATATGTCGCCATGATGTTACCGAACATCCTATAATCAATCACCTCCTGGTATGGTCTGTTGTGAGCAGTGAGCCCTTGTAAGAAGACTGGTGGGGTGGGTACAACCCTCTTGCTCGGGGCACATCCCTGATGCGATTGGAAAGCCGTTCCTCTGAGGGCGTGGCCTGCTTCTTATGTAAATTCTTATGTAAATTCCCATGGAAAGGTTGCTTCATCTGCCACCTGGAGTGTTCATCAGTCCCCCACCTACTCCTGCCAAGAGAAGCCTTCAGCTCGACATCGGACCCACGGAGTTAAAAGTGGACTCAATCAACCCATTGCACTGGGTCCATCTGCACAAGACCTCTTTTTAAAGGGTCGAAAGTGAGGCTTACTCAGTGTTTTCAGAGGTGGACCTCGGACAAGGGAGACTGAAGGGCAGAAGCCTCTGAATTGTGGTGCTGGCGATAACGTTCAAGGAGCACACAACTCTCGGAAGTAGAGCCAGAAGGCCGCTTGAACAAGGTGCACTGGACACAGTGTCTGTGCTGATGGGCTCAAAGCCAATGCGGAGGACGGTGCCGGTCTGGGCAGTGTTTGGATGGCGGCGCTTTGGGACCGACTTGATGACATGACCCGCTGTGTGAACCGTCTCCTTGATAAGCAGCTCTGGTTTATCTTCTCGAGTGAACCCAGCTTCACAAAGGGGGCTTCAAAAAGTTCGCGGAAAACTAGGTACCGCCCTGTGGGCAGGACAAGCTGATGGAAGCCACAGACAGTGCCCTAGAAGGATTCAGGAAAATGATGAATATTAGGAACCCAGAGCGTCACCCTAAAAGAGCAGGCTGATCAAGGAATGAATGGGCCAGTGAAATTTAAGACTTATCCTTGTCACCGGTCTGTCTGAGGGCAAATGAAGAAAGCCCGAGAACCATTCACATGAGCTAAGGCTTCCGGAGGAGGAGGACGTCAAAGAAAAACAACTGGGAATTGTCGGGACTCGCTAGCAGGAGCCTTCTCGAATCTTACGGAGGACGAAAAGACGCACTTAATGAATTCCATGCAGACCCTAAAGGAAAGTCATCAGGCCGTGCATGTAAAGGACCTTCCGAATGAGCCCTGACTTCTCAGCAGAAACCAAGAACTATCCACCCCGGGGAAATGTCCTAAACAGGACTTTTGTAAACAGACCAACAATAGCAGACCACGACCTGAGAGCGAGACACACGACCGCATCCGCTGGAACCCAACCTGGAAGCACTTCCCCAAATACAGCAAGCTTCCAGGAGTAGAAACACCCAGGCATGCCCATCTGTCGTGGCAGACAACGACAAAACATGAAAGAAGGAGAGGGAGTCAGACAGAATGACTCAGGCACAGAAAAACATGGGGAACAAAGAATGACGGTCATGAAATTCATGCCTGTGACAAATGATGCGAAACATAAGTGGATTAAATGAAAACAGGACCCGTCAATATGCTGCGTATAAAAGCCAAGGGAGACAACCTAGAGCCCATCAACGGATGCAAGGTGAACGCCGTAATACACACAACGGAATATTGTGCCCTACTGAGGAATCCACAGAACACCTCACCACGTGGGTGGACTTGGACAACAGTCAGTCAAATCCAAGGTCATATACACGCAGGGAAGTTACCACGTAGACGAGAGAGTTACACAATCCTGCATTCTCACTCATGATGAGCAGGCCCAAAGGGACAATCCACCCTGTGTACAGGCGTGCACTTGATGACCTGCAGTCTGGCGCAGGGGCTGCGACCGCAGGCTCAACCCTAACAATGACGGGGCGTGGCGGGCTGGGCAGGGCTGCCCTGAGTGTCCAACATAGTTCTATATTGTACTTTGGCGAGTAGTGACTGGGGTCTGCAGGTACAGTTCTCATCCTCCTCCCACCCAGAGCAGAGAACGATGAAGGAAAAATCGGAGGACTGATGGACCACGTGAACCTCCGCCTCCACTCCCCTGGAAGCAGACCCCCTCGATTGATGGGGCCTGGCTCCCCTGCTCTGACAGGGAGGGACCACAAGAGCTGGTTTGGAAGAGAGTGGGACAACCACGGGAGACACGCAGCACTTCACTCTTCAGACCTGGAACCGAACTGACCCCCATGGCTCCCCTTTCAGCAGAACTCTGCCCTGCTTGGAACAGCCCATGACACCCGGCACCGCGTTTGTGCGCTCTCACATCACGGACCCTGCAGTGTCACTAGACAAGCTATGAGTGTGTGTGTGTGTGTGTGTAGACTGCTCCGCAAACGTCACTCAGATGACATGAAAGCTTTAAAAGGCTTTCTAATAATTCAGAGAACCACAGACTTGTGTGGAAAACAATGTCCAGGGGCTCACTGCTGACACAAAGCACAGGGGCTGCTCTGAGCAGGGCCCTCACGGGAGGAGGAGGGGGTGGGGGAATGATGCCCATGCAAGCCTCTGCACCTCCCCTCCCCCTCCCCACTAGGATGAAAAACAATGCCTATCTCATAGGGGATTAAACCAAATTCATACGAGTACCTCATGCCACACGTTTTAAAATTCCTAATGGGAATATGAGAAAAACCAGCACACCGGATAGCATTAGAGCCACCCCCAGTTTCATGGCGACCTCTCCTGGTGGCGCCTGGGAGTGTGGGGCCCAGCGCTATGCCCCTGTCCGCGGGAACTTCCAGGGAGACAGGGCAGAGGGCTTGGTACTTTTTCCACCACGAACCTTCACATCACGGTTACACGTATCTCTGCAAAGCAAAGGGAGCCCCCACCAAACGTGCCAACAGCTGAAGGGAACGCAAGCCAGCTTGGAGCAGTGGGCACACACGGACAGGAGGAGAAAGCACGGACCAAGAAGAGACTTCGAAGTGGCAACGGCAGAACACCGTCCTTAAACAGGACGGAAGTTCCCTGTCCATCGAATGCTCAACGACTCGCTCCTTGAGCCAACATGACCGTAGTACACATACACACGCAATGACGATTTGTACATCTGGCAGCCTGGCTCTGTGAACACAGGGGAGGGCTTTTACTTCTTTGAGTTGCAGCTTCCTCCGTGGGGGAGAGGCAGAGGATCAGGTCCGTAGCTCACAGGGTTGATGTGAAGATAAGCCCCTTCCCATCTACAGCAGGCCCTCAGCACAGGGTAGGCAGGCGGTCGGCAATGATCCAGGTTCCACTACAGCTATTACTGATGGAGTGGATTTACCTGCTAAGGGCACCGAAAGCCTACCAACAAACCCAGGGCAATAAACCAAGCCCATCTATCTTCATTTTCTCGAAGGCGGCAGGGAAAGATGACCGGGATATTAGTACGAGGCATAAAAAGGGATGCACACACCCATAAACTTGAAAGGCTTTGGTGATTAAATAATTTAGCCACGAATAAGTATCCAGTCTTGCCACTAAAGATAATGTTGGGTTTTTATTACTGTGCCGGGGAAGAAGTGAGATCTATGTTATAATACATCACCGGGTACCTGGATTTATCATGGAACCTTAGGAGATGATTAGGTTGCCCATCCATACTGGTTTGCCTGTGACAGTCCCAATTTATGCTTAAGGTTCCGCTTAATTACTCATTACCCTCTCCCAGAAGTGCCCCAATTTGGAGGATAAATCTGACGGCCACCAGAGGGAGGGAAAAGCCCAAGGGCTGAGATGTGGATGGAAAGTTCTGACCTCAGAGCCCGGGACACGCGTTGGTCTGTGTCTGCACACTAGGCTCAGGAGGCAGTGCGATGGGGACATGGAACAGGCCGCAGCCACACAAGCTCCTGGTTAAGACGCCAGCTTCCCACCAAGCTTCCCTGGGGCAGCAGGCCGGTGCCACCGTGGCATTGCTCAAGAAGATGCATCCTCTGCCAGGGGAACGTTCACCAAGATACACCCAGGCCATGAGAGTCCATGCTCCCTGGGGGGCTTGGCTTTGCAGGAGCCAAAGGCCGAGGTGGCCCTT